CATCATTAGGCTGAAAAAAACAAAACAAACCCATCAGAGAGATAGCAAAAACATTAGGCGTGGCCAAAAACAACCGTTTGGAACATTCTTAAAAAGAAGGAACGCACCGGTGAGCTCAGCAACACCAAAAGACCCGGAAGACCACAGAAAACAACTGTGGTGGATGACTGAAGAATTCTTTCCCTGGTGAAGAAAACACCCTTCACAACAGTTGGCCAGAATCAAGAACACTCTCCAGGAGGTAGGTGTATGTGTGTCAAAGTCAACAATCAAGAGAAGACTTCACCAGAGTGAATACAGAGGGTTCACCACAAGATGTAAACCATTGATGAGCTTCAAAAAGGCCAGATTAGAGTTTGCCAAATGACATCTAAAAAAGCCTTCACAGTTCTGGAACAACATCCTATGGACAGATGAGACCAAGATCAACTTGTACCAGAGTGATGGGAAGAGAAGAGTTATGGAGAAGGAAAGGAACTGCTCATGATCCTAAGCATAACCACCTCATCAGTGAAGCATGGTGGTGGTAGTGTCATGGCGTGGCAATGTGTATGGCTGCCAATGGAACTGGTTCTCTTTGTATTTATTGATGATGTGACTGCTGACAAAAGCAGCAGGATGAATTCTGAAGTGTTTTGGGCAATATTATCTGCTCGTATTCAGCCAAATGCTTCAGAACTCATTGGACGCCGCTTCACAGTGCAGATGGACAATGACCCAAAGCATACTGCAAAAGCAACCAAAAGTTTTTTAAGGGGGAAAGAAGTGGAATGTTCTGCAATGGCCAAGTCAATCACCTGACCTGAATCCGATTGAGCATGCATTTCACTTGCTGAAGACAAAACTGAAGGGAAAATGCCCCTCAAGAACAAGCAGGAACTGAAGACAGTTGCAGTAGAGGCCTGGCAGAGCATCACCAGGGATGAAACCCAGCGTCTGGTGTGATGTCTATGCGTTCCAGACTTCAGGCTGTAATTGACTGGAAAGGATTTGCAACCAAGTATTAAAAAGTGAAAGTTTGATTTATTATTATTATTCTGTCCCATTACTTTTGGTCCCTTAACAAGTGGGAGGCACATATGCAAACTGTTGTAATTCCAAACCATTCACCTGATTTGGATGTAAATACCCTCAAATAAAGCTGACAGTCTGCAGTTAAAGCACATCTTGTTCGTTTAATTTCAAATCCATTGTGGTGGTGTATAGAGCCAAAAATGTTAGAATTGTGTCCATGTCCCAATATTTATGGACCTGACTGTATGTTGCATATTGTGTGGACCTTGCTTGGAGTTATGACACTAGATGGCTATCTATTTGGTCAGGTGCCAGTCCTCCACTTGTAAATAGTTAATTATTTCTAAAAGTTTACAAATTTTCTACCAGTTTGCACAATGCGGGAAATGCCGCATAAAAAGTTTTGTTAAATTGTTATTTTCCCTATCTCCTCCCTTTGCTGCAATGGGAGACTCGTCTCCTGGGAAAAAAGAGCTTTAATTTGTTCAGCCCATGAAGACAGGCCTATTTTTGGTGGAATTGAATGTAGCGCCTTCCTAGTTGCTAGTAAAATCAGGTAAATGTAGTTTTTTTGGGTCCTCTGTAGCCAGCGGAGCTTTTAGCTGTTCTGGGTCCCTGCTGGTTGCAGACTCAACTAATTCCCCCTGCACTCTAGTAGGTTCTGGAATATAGTAGGTTTAAGAGGCAGGGACACTGGGCTGAATTTTCATACAGCCTCAGCCAATCCCTGGCCAAGGGAGTGTCCAGCAGGGGGCTTCAATGTGTATAAATAGTCTGGGACCTGAAACGCAGGGTCCTTGGGGAAAAGACCCAGCCCTGGAGGGGCTGCTGCCCTTCTAGACAGATTATCTGAAGACTGCAGGAGCTTCTGGCTAGGAGGCTCACTGTACAGTGTCTGGCTGGTACTGGAAGGAGGCATCCAAATATACAGGGACACAGTGAGTAGAGGCCTAAGAGAGAGATCCTGTAGAAATTGGTGCTGTTTAACCCTTTGTGAGAGACTGTTTCTGAATTGCTGGCTTAGGGCTGCTTCCAGAGTGGAAGTCACCTAGGCTGTATGTTCATTCTCTCTTATCACAAGACGTTCATTCTGGGGAACCTAGCTACTACCAGAAAGTGTCCTCCGTTCAGTTTGCACTAGATTTAGAGTATCCCAAGGCTCACCCTACACCTCAACCAAGTTAAATCAATGTTCAAGTGGTTGTAAAGGCTCAAGATTGCTTACCTTCATGCATTCTATGCATGGAGGTTAAAATCCTTCTGTGTGCAGCAGCTCCCCCAATACCTACCTGAGCCCCATTCTGATCAAGGGAAGTGCATGAAAGCCTTGGGTCTTCAGGCACTCTCCCTCCTCATTGGTGGAGATCACAGCCACACAGCCAGAGGTGAGAAGGTGGGCAGGGTCGAGCCACGGCTGTGTGTGAATGGACAACGCTGAGCAGCGGCTTTGGGAGCGAGCCTGCTTGGGTGCCCCCATAACAATCTGCTTTCTCTGGGGGGGGGTACTCAGAAGAAGGGAGGGCCAAGAGCTCTGGTGGGGGACCTGAGAAGAGGAGGATCGGGGTTGCTCTGTGCAAAACAGAGCAGGTAATTATAACTTTTTTTTTTATAAAAAATTTGTCTGTAATATCACTTTAAATTTCAAAAAGAAACTTGTCTAGTCATTGTGTTGAGAGACTGGGAAACTGCTGTGTGCCTGGCTGCTTGTGCTGATTCCGGAATAGAACTTGGGACAAATGTCAGGACCCGTCAGGGTTTGCTACACATTCATTGGATTTAATTTCTTTAAATGATGGAGGCTTGGTATCACATGTGGGCATTACGTAGGTTGGTCTGCATGCAAATACAGCCTCCATGGAATGTATAACTTCTCAAGACTGACACCCACCCATTAAGGCATTTTGATTTTGCATTACTCCTCCCCAGGAACCATCCCACTGCTTACATCATGGTGAGGGCTCTTGAAAGAAGTACTGAAGCAGGGTGCTGTGATGTTTTTCAGGAAGCTATGTACAGCACTCTGCCATCCTCTCCTGCCAGCCATGATCTGCCTGCATTGCATAGAACCCCAGTAAGAGTAATTAATGCATACATAAAGGTTATTGTTTTTATTTAATCATTAGCATGTTGATGAAGGGAGAGGGAGTAACCAGAGAAGCCAAGCATATTAAACTTTAGGTTTAAAGCCCCACTCCAGGATAATTTGCTGGCTCCTGCTCTCTCAGTGCTGCTTCCTTGAACTTCTGGTTTTCACAGAAAAGCATTAACAGTGAACAGTGTAGTCTCCAGTCAGTCTGTAAGCCTGGAGTAAGGAGGAGCAGGGGAGTGCCTTGCCATCCTAGACTAAGGGGCTAGGTGTTTCTATTGATGCAGTGTAGGGAGACTAAGCTCTGCATGTAAGGGTGGCTCCATAGGACACTGCAAGAGAAAAGAAGCCACCATGAAACAGGGAACCTGGGGGCAGCAGTTATGACACCAGTTTAAATTGGAACATAAACAAGAACTAAAAAAATAAAGAAACCGTTCATTCACTAGTGATATAGTGATATTAATTTTTTTTTTTCCTTAAAACAAAAAAAAAAGTCATCAAAAAACCTGCTCTGTGCAACAATATTTCACAGTGCGGTCCCTTACCTCCTCTTTGACAGTCCCTACTGGCGCTGTCTGCTCCTTCCTCCTCCGAGCGCCTCTTTAGTTAACCAGGTGCTCTGGGGGCACCTGTGCACCACGGAATCTATGCATCCATAGACACACATAGAGCAGGTAAGCCACGCCCCCACTCCCTCCTCACAGAATTTTAATTGGCAGCAGCAGGAGCTTGTGGCTCCCACTGCTCTCAGTATCTCCTGTGAAACCAGGAAGTGAGGGGTGGTGGCAAGAGTCACATAGGTGTTTAGGAGGGGAAGGAAAAATAGCAGGGAGTTTTTTTTAAGGTAAAAAAAAATTACTTTAGAACCACTTTTTTATTTGAAGAATAAGAATAATCAAGATTTTTGAGAAAGATAACACAAATAAAATACAAATAAAACAATAAAAAAATATTAAAGCCACCAGACTGGCACCAAAAACTGGTCATGCAGGTCTGGAAAATCACCAGAAAAACCCCACACCACCTCCCCCACCCCCAAACTTTCTCTGTGCAACACCCCCCCCTCCCCATCATTCCAGGACAAGTCATGTACCATACATGGGAAGACAATTGTTTGCAGCCAATACACCAAAGCCAAAACCTACAAGACCTATAATAAGACACATCCCAACAATGTCAAATATCACAGAATGAATACAGACAAGAATTCAACGAGTATCCCAGTAGCAGGAATATACATAACCCCACATTCAAGGCAAAGTAAAGACTTTGATGGATGGAAACCTTCAAGCTGACTATCTTACGGTAACAACTGGGAACTGACCAGTAGTATCAGCTGTAGATGTCCAGATACCCCAGACCTTTTTTTGGGACAACCTCGATTCAAATGCATGGCCTCATAGAATGGTAAAACAGAGTTCACCATTCCTTTCCAGAACTGCAGCGTTGGGGGCATGGGATTTTTTCCAATGTAGCATAATGGCTTTACGAGCGTAGAACAGAAGTATGCTCAGCAGGGTTCTATGTGCTACCATGGTGGCTGGTCCCTCCACAAGGCCCAAAATGCAGACAGAGATGGACAAGAGGACAGGGAAAGCCTTAACTTTCAAGATAAGTTGAGTGACACTCTTCCAAAATTGTTGAACTAATGCACAATGTCAGATGATATGTGAAATATTAGCTGGGGTAAAGGCACAACGCTTGCATTCCGCAGGAAGAGACTAATAGATACTGGTTAATTTAGCAACAATAAAGAAAATATGGTGAACTATAAAACCACTGTAAATCATCTGCTGAAGGTACTTACGAAATTGAGGGTTTTAATATCACATTAAGGCTTAAATTGCATAAGTAACATGTATAAGAGCCATACATTGTATATAATGAGGATACATACAGCCTGGTCTCGCAGCCTTTCCCCTCGGATAAGGTAGTCTCGTTGGTGAGAGGAGTCTGGCCGCCGAACCTTGCAGATCATTACATGGCTGAGACCTCCTCCTCCCATTGGCACCCAGCCCCCACTAGAGTCGTCTCTGGACATCACCACTGCTCGAACTCTCACGATGTAACTACAACAGTAAAGAAGAAAGACAAAAGTTAATTGAGAGGCAGTTCTTCCATCATTAACTTTATTAGACTTTATGATTGGAGAAGGCTTAGATAAAAGATGAAGGTATGGTTATTTTTTAGCTTTGGATGATGCATAGATTGGTTAACCCTTTCGCTTTCTGAACTGCTTTTGCATTTCTGCACATGTTTAAGAAATCATTTTAGGCCTGAAGAATACTTTGATATAAAATAATGCACCTAGAGAAAAGGAAACCCTTGACAGAGGACAATACTGGGTTTACCGTGTTAGCCAGGACTACAGTGGAAAAATACTTGGGGGCCCTTATTTCAGATGAAATGCACATTGAGCAAACAGTGTGACCAGGCTGTGAGAAAAGAAGAGAATTCTAGGATGCATCACTAGAGGGATCACCAGCAGGAGGAAGAAAGTTCTAATTCCCCTATATAGATCTTTAGATATCAGAAGAGGGGTCACCAGCAGGGGGAAGGAGGTCCTGATTCCCTATAGAGCTCTTTAGTCATCACTAAAATCCTCTCTTGTATTAAAAGAGGTATAGACTCCTGAGAGAGAGATATCATTTTACCCCGGTACAAATCATTAGTAAGACCTCATCTGGAATATGCAGTGCAGTTTTGGGCACCAATTCACAAAAGAACATTGGGGAACTGGAAAAAAGTACAGAGAAGGGCAACAAAATTGATAAGAGGCATGGAGGAGCTCAGCCATGAGGAAAGATTAGAGGAACTGAATTTATTCTCTCTTGAGGAGATTAATTGGGGAATATGATCAACATGTATAAATACATCAGTGGTTCATATAGTGAACCTTTAAATACATCAAGTGGGTGAATAATATTCAAGAGGGCAGTATTTTCAGTAGGAAGCTAAGGTAAATACATGTGGACATGACCTCAAATTAGCAGGAACAAAGTTTAAAACTAATCTCAGAAACTGAATCCTTGAAAAAAGTGCTGTGCTACAGCTAATCATAAATAACACATGAAAAACATAATTGTGTTAATATGTGTTGCACCTAATAAATACATCTTCTCATATATACATGCAAACTATTCAATGGGGTTGATTTATTCAAACTGCACAGTGCAAAATCTGGTGCGGCTGTGAATGGTAACCAGTTACCAACTCCAGTTTGTTCAGTTAAGCCTTGACAAAGAAAAAAAAATGGAAGCTGATTGCTTTCTATGCAGAGCTGCACCAGATTAGTAAATCAACCCCAAAGTGTCCAAAAAAGTATTTTTTAAACCAGTTCCACAAACACTGTGATACAACAAATCAAATCTAAAGTTTATATGCTCTAGCTGGCGCTACCTCAAATCATGAATATCATATGAAAAACAGAATTATGTAAATAAATGGTAAATCTAATGAATAAATTAATAATTTATTCTCCTGATATATGCATACAAACAATTTGATGTGTCCAATATGCAAAAAATATTTAAAAAAAAAAAACAATAGTTCAATCTATAAATAGAAGGGTTTCACCACCAATAAAATTTTGAAATTTCTAATCATTTAGGAGAAAAGTCTAATTGAATTTTCATGTCCTCATCTCTGTAATTCAAAAGATAAAAGCATCTGCTCTGCCAAGGAGGAGATGTAACAGCGGGGATTGCATCATATCCTCTCCTCTCTGCAGCAAAAGAAAACTACAGTTCCCATCAACCACAGGGAATTATAGTGAATGTAGGTGTGTACACTAGGCCCGTACATATTGAATGTGTCTGAGAGTCTCAGTCCGCCCATTACTGCAAGTGGGGCTGAAATACATGACTGCTTCCTAGAGGAAGACTACAGAAGGGATATGCCAAGACCAGTGGCTGGGGGAATAGGAGGCATAGCAGCCACTGGCCTTACAAACAGGAAACCAAACAGAATTAATGGTTTGAAATGAAAATCAATAGACTATTTCAGAGCAACTATTGAATGAAACAGAAGAAGGATGACATATTCAGTGAAGGTAGGAAATCAGCAATCAGAACATGTAAATATGTTTCTGCCTGGAGTTCTGCTATAATTTTTGGACCGTATACAGGTCACTATGTGCTTTCCCCTATATAGGGAATCACTGATGGTTACTTCAAATCTCCAATTGCTTCCTCCACTCATCTCTCGAAAGAGCTCAATGTGTAACCAACAAGGCAAGTAGATTGTTTAATAACAAATGTATCTCAAATGGAACATCTCAAATGGAGTAGAAACCACACATAGGGGAGAATTCACTAAAGGTTATCACATGCATTATGTCGGTCAGGTGACCACATATCACATGCGATACTGAAAATGTCAATTCACTATTGCTAACATGCGGTATTTACCGCAAATAGCAAAAACGCTCAGTAAATACATAATAGTAAAAAGACCTTAAAGTCTATTCACAGAAGGAATTAAATGATGAAATGCATGCAGTAATTAAGTAGTGGTCAAGGTATTCGGTATGTATACTGTCATTAAGAAGAGGGCAGCTGCCGTGTCCTTAACAACCGATGACTCTTCAGCTGTCAGTGGGGTGAATGTAAAAAAGGAATTGCCAGCAATTAAAAATTAAGGAAAAACAAAATGGCATTGGGTCCCTTCCCTCATCCATACCAAGCCCTTTGTTTTTGGTATGGATTTTGAAGGGAAAAATGGTGTGGGGTCCCCACCAAATCCATACCAAACCCTTATCCGAGCATGCAGCCCAGTAGGTCAGGAAAGGGGGAGGGAGAGCAAGGTCCCTCCCCCTCCTGAACCATACCAGGCCACATGCCCTCAACATGGAGGGGGGGATGCTCCATGTTGATGGGCACAAAGGCGTCTTCCCCACAACCCTGGCTGGTGGTTGTAGGGGTCTGCAAGCAGGGGGCTTATGGGTATCTGGGGCCCCCAGATCCCCCATGTGAATGAGTATGGGGTACATGGGACCCCTACTCATTCACCAAAAAGGTGTTGTGTAAAAAGCACAGGAGGCAGTTTCTGAGAAGTCCTTTAGTAAAAAAAAACAAAGATAAAAAAATTGGGCCCCAGTGTAGATCCATCAATCACAATGCCCACTGCCACTGGCGATAAAAAGGCTCAGCTCTTGACAAAGGCTCCCATCGTCTGAGAGCTTCGCCACCTGACAGTTCTTAAATAAGTAAGGGGTGGGGCCACCCGTGATGTAGCTGGGTGACCACACCCATTTGTGATGTCATTGATTGGGGCATGCTGAGATTGACGATGGATCTACACCAGAGGACATTTTTTTTTATTTTTGTTTTTTTTTTAATAAAGGACTTGTCAAAAACTGCCTCCTGTGTTTTTTTAGGCTACACTTTTTTTGGTGAATGAGTAGCGGTACCATGTACTCCATAATCATTCACATGGGGGGGATATCTGGGGGCCCCCTTGTTAAAGGAGGCTTCTAGATTCTGATAAGCCCCCCACCCACAGACCCTCACATAACCACCTCCCAGGGTTGTGGGGAAGAGGTCCTTGTCCCCATCAACAAGGGAACAAGGTGCTTTGTGAGGGACTTCAGATAAGGGACCTCAGATAATGCCTCTTTCCTTCCCTGCATGCATACACAGTGCCCCTACTCATTCACAAAAAAAAAATGTAAATAGTAAACAAACACACTTTCTGACACGTCCTTAATAGAAAATAAATAAATGGCCCACAATGTAAATCCATCATCTGTCCCACTTATGGTGGATTTACACTGTGAGACCTTTTTTTTTTAATAAAGAACTTTTTTTTTTACTATTTACATTTTTTGTGAACGAGAATGGGTACTATGCACCACTTATTCATATGGTGGGGGGGGGGGGGCATCTGGGGGCCATATTCAGCCCCTGCCCACAAACCTTCACAGTTACCAGACCAGGGTTCAGTGGGGGGGGGGTGCTCACTTGTTCCCCCGACTTTCCTAACCTGCTGGGCAACATGGTCGGATAAGGGTTCGGTAAAGATTTTGGAGGAGACTACCACGCCATTTTTTACATTTTGGCGTGGGGGTTCCCCTCAAAATTCATAGGAAACCCACAGGGCTTGGTATGAATAGGGGATCCCACGCCGTATTTTATTCATTTTTAATTGCATAATTCTGTTTTTTACATTCATTAAATTTTTTACATACATTACGGCATGTTTTCACTGCTAAAATACAAAAAGACATAATAAAATAACTCATGCAGGATTTTAGTAGTGGTATTTAGTGAATGCCAACTTTTTTTTGAAAAATTATGTGCGGTATCCTACCACATACTTGGATGCGGTAAGATACCGCTTACTGAATTGTCCCCATTGTGTTTTTTACCACTTAAAAACCATTAAACATCTATTAAAACCCTTTAAAATACACTCACAATGTTAGTGCACTAGTGAACAGTAGCATACCACTCTAAAAATGACTGATTGCATATACAGGTACATGTCCCCTTAAGGGAAAAGATCACAGCATTACGAAACTCCAGTATTCCGATTGTTCTTCCTGGTGGCGTGATGACGTCATCAAGCTCTGCCTTCCAATTCTTCCAAAGAAATCTTAGAAACTATTATTTTGCTGAAAGAGTAGTGGATACTTGGAATACACTTTCAGCAGAGGTAGTGAGTCAGTCAATAGTAAGTGGATTCAAGCATGCTTGGGGCAAACATAGATCTATACTTAGACAAAAAAAATTTAAAAAACAAAAGAGGTAGACTTGATCGACCTCTTGGCCTTTTTAAGCCATCTTCCATGTTTCTATATGGCATATATCAGTGGCAGCAAAAGGGTTAAAGCTACTGTAGATTTTCTTTTTCCTGCTGCCTGTGTCCTGTTGGGGAAAGTAACCTACTCACTCCCTGTTCTGGGGAAAAAAAGATAAATGTTCGCTCAAGTTTGGGGAAATCTCCCATTATACAGTAGTCACCAAAGCAAGTGTCCCACGCTTAAAGTATTTTCCTCCATTCCTCTGACAACTGTAACTTTGTGGTCTTACCATTACTGTCCACTGACAGTGACAACGGTCACCAGGAC